CGGGCGCGACGGACCCAGGGTCTCCCAAGCGTTTTGGGCCGCGCCTGGCTCGGATGTGCCAGTCTCAGGCCGCTGCCTCCTTCCTCCCACGCTCGGACCCCTCCAGCAGTCTCTGCCCACATGCTGCTCTTCTCCCCTTTCCCCCAGCATCAGTGGCTCCCCTGGCAGCGTGCCCCTGGGCTGCCCCCTGCCACACAGCACTAGTGTCATCCGCTCACTGGTGTGGCGTCCTGACAGATCTTCTGCTCTGTCAATGATGATAAACGTTAGGCTGTGTGTGTTTTCGTAGGCTCCCTCAGTATATCATGCCAGTGCTGTGCAGGCAGCTAGTGTAGTAGACCTCACAAGAGCCCCCAAAGACCACGGACTCAGATAAAATATGAAGGCACCTGAGTCAGGTTTATTGTCAAACAAAGAATGTTAATAGTCATTGGCAGCCAGATGGCCTCTGTGCCCCTATGTATTTTTACCTGGGATAATGGACTCAGCTCAGGCTGGCCAAAAAGTTAATTGAGGTACCCCAACATTTATAAACAAAAATAGACAATCTATAATAAACACCGAGCCTATCATCTTATGCATTAGTGACATGTTTGGTATCTCCCCTTGTGCTTTCTTCCAAAGCATTCACTGCCCCTTGTTCTGCTTTCACTCTTAATGTTTCAAACTATTTTATCATGTACTCAGCTGGGTGTCCATGTAATGTGCTGATGGAATGTATTTACATATCTTATGTGCGTTAATCAGTGCTAGTAGTTTTAGTGCCGAGAGATGCTGACTTGCAGGCAAACATTTGCTTTTGACACAGCCCCCCTGTTACTCCGAGTGTAACGCTTGCTTACTTTGGTTTAAGCACTAGGCCCTTGCCTCAGGCTTTTTCTTCCTCCTACCCCTGTTACTCCGAGTGTAACTCTTGCTTACTTCGGTTTAAACACTAGGCCTTGCCTCAGGCTTTTTCTTCCTCCTACACCCATCATCGCCGGCCCCTGCCCCAAGCACCCATGGCACCTCTGGAGCACCCGAGATTTAGTCTGGGGTGTATATAGTACAGTCATGGACAGGCTATGGACCATGAATTTTTCAAAGGGGGTGGGGAGAGAAGGAGGCTCCACCCAGGGATGAAGCAGGACTAGGCTGGGGAGACACAGATATGGGGAGAGCCTCTGCAGCAATTGCTAATTACCTGATGTTCTCAACTCATGGACCTGATTTTGATTTGTGCAAGGGTATCTGTGCATGTTTGCCATACAGGTTTCAGCTGATGTTGCTTGCAAGCCTTTTGCTGTTCTTGAGGTGATTTGTCACCCAAATCATATGGTATTGTTTCTGATTGGATAACTTTGACTCTTTAAGCAGGAGACTAGCAGTTGACAACTAAACTCTTCCTCATGTAGATGGTTGGACAAATAATCATTTGGTACAACACATAACTTTAGGGATTTGTGACCATTTTCACAGACACACTGCTCTCCCGTATGTTTGTGAATAATAAACAGTATGACCCCAGGAATAATAGTGCAAACTAGCTGGTTATTTGTAGGGATGTAGAAGGTTAATTGGTTACCCGGTGAGCATTAGGCTTACCAGAGTGCTTACTGGGTAGTTGGTTAATTGGACCATGTCCAAACTCCAGTGGACGACTGTCATCTGCACCAGGCTGGAACAGCCTCAGCTGCGTCAGGCTTGTCGGCTGGACCCCAGCCACGTCGGGCGGAGCTGTGTCTGTGTCAGGCACCAGGCAGGCATTATTCAGGGTCTGGCCTGGCTGTGCTGGCTGGCTTGTGGTGGACCCCACCATGCCTGGCATGTGGGACCCCTGCCTGACAGATCCAGCGGGACCACATCCCTTTGCCAGCCCGCTAATGGTTAACCGGTTAAATTAAATGATATAATTTTAATTGCTTAACCAGTTAATTGTTTTATAGATATTTACATCCCCCTTTTTTTGTGCTGTAGTAAAAAAGTCAGCTGTTCAGTGGCAAAAACTTCCATGGCGGGGGTATCTAAGCTGTCGGTTGCTGCAGGTGCTTTTAAGTTTTCATTAACAAAAAAAAGTGATTCCTGTGTTTGAAAAAATCTTCCAAATATGACCAGTCTGTAAGTGCAGCATTGCTGAGCCTGAAGAAAGGTGGCCCCAATATCGCTGCTGATGCTACTGGCTTCCTCAAGCAATGGCAGGATGAATTAAGAGTGGTCAGTTATGTTGTTGCTTTTCAGGCCCCTTTACCCCTGGTGAAACTGACAACTCCCTCACAAAGCTGCTGAGAAGAACCTAAAACCGGGGGCAGGGTGCTAGAGCAGTCCAAGCTCAGGAGGGTCTATTTTTTTCCTATTCTGGGTAGAGCCTTACACCACACTAAGATGACCTAAGTGGTTGGCATAATATACAGTGTTCCTTTCATTAACCCTATCACCTAGAGGCAGATAAACAGAGCCCCACCTATTATGGCCCGGTATTTGGCCAATAAAACTGGTCCAGTCCCCAGTTGATGGGATTCCTAACAGATAGCAATACCTGGGCTGGGCGGCACACCATACTAGTATCTGTATCTTCCAGCAGTGCATTAAGCAGGGTGAAATAAGGGTTTCTGTTCATGTACAACACTGCAGGGAGCTGGCTTCCCCACACTGCTGCCTCTGATACAGCACTCAACAGTGGGGTGGGGGTGGGTCAGGGGCCGTGTGTAACTGAGAGGGTTAACCATTCACATCCCTAGTATGCAGGGCTCAACAAATCAGTGAATCTACTCGCCTGCGGCGAATAGATTTCAGACAGTCGCCCCATTCACTGGTGGTGTGCGCTGTGCGGGTCTTGCACATGCGCAGTGCGGGGCTGGCGAGTAGATTTCGCCGCAGTTTGTCAAGCCCCGCTAATATGTTCACGGTGGGTTTCTGTTAGATCAGTACAACTTCGGGATAGAAGCAACTAGTTGCTTCCCCCTTCCCCACCCTCAGTTCCTGCCTCTATCGGAAAGAGGCAGCAGTGGTGGGAGAGAAAGAGGAAGGTGTGCTGGGGGAAGCTGGCTTAAAAGTGGGTTCCCTCCAGCTCCATGGAGCCTGGGGCCAGTGGGGCTAGCTCCATGTGGTGTTTCAATCTTTGAAACTGCTGGGTGGGCTCTTGCTACATTTCAAAGTGGAAGCGCCCTTATTAACTAATCAAATAGTCGATGGAAATTCCATCGACTATTCAATTAGTCAATCTAATTTTAACATCCCTAGTACACCTGTCACGCAGGCGAGGCTCTTACATGCCTCTGAGAGATGTAGCTGAAAGTGTAGATCAAGGATGTAAAATATTAACTGTAACCGATGGAAATTCCATCGCTTAAAATGGCCCTGGGGGGTGCCCGGCTACCACCGGCTGCCCACCCGGCCTTCCTACCCAGAGTTTAAATGTTAACACCAGGAACGGAAAATCATTTTTGGGTTGGGGGCTGCTGACCTACAGAAAAATCAGTGGCAGGCTTCACCCTCACCTGATGTGGGCCCCAACTGAGGAGAAACTCTTCCCCACGTTCCCCTCAGGCTAGCAGATTTTGTGTGCTCTAGCCCAACTGTTGGGCAGTGTGTGTGTGTGTGTGTGTGGGGTGGAAGACAGACTAGAGCAACAGTATGGTCTCCCTAATGCTACGAGGGATGGGCGCTGAGCCTCAATGGCCAGATCCAGGCAAGCCAAGGGCTGCGTCTGGCCACCGAGTCTGAGGTTCCCCACCCCTGGTAACGGGAACCGATAAACTGATGTTTATCGGTTAACGGTTTAAACTCTTACATCCTCATGTAGATCGGGCTTGATCTGTCACTTGAGAGAGGTGTGTGCCATGGTGTGTCCTGTGTGTCTTTTAATAGTAAGGTACACAATCATGCACGTGTGTGTTGGAGGGCAAGGTCCAAAAAAAGCAGTTTGTGCTCCAAGTGGAAGGTGGAGGCTTATGGTGGCCCTTGGCTTCAGTGAGAGGTCATTGCAGGCTTGGGCAGGCCCTTGAGCAGGCTGCATCCTGGGTCGGTGTACGGGAAAGAAGGGTGGGGTGACACTTCTCCATTCCAGCAGCTGGAGAGGCATTGAAAGGCTTCAGGTTCCTCAGACAGCTGTTCTACCATCTAAAGATTAACATGGAAGATGGGGCCACCAAGCAGGGTCCAGGTGTTGCTAGCTGTTAGGAATCCCATCAACGGGGGACTGAACCAGTTTTATTGGCCAAACACTAGCCATAACTGGGGGAGGCTCTGTCTGGCTCTAGGTGGTAGGATTAATGAAAGGAACTCTGTATGTATTATGCCGGCCACTTAATTCATCTTAAAGACACACCCACCCCCCAGATGTGAGATCCTGGTTCCATCAAAGTCCGTATGTATTACGCCGGCCACTTAAGTCATCTTAAAGACACGCCCACCCCCCAGATGTGAGATCCTGGTTCCATCAAAGTCAATGAGTGTTTTGCCATTGAAATAAATGGAGCCAGGAATTCATCTGTCGTCCCAGTCCTGAGAAGTTTAAGGTGTGGCATTTTTTCAAGAATGGTTTTAACCACAGTGTCTGGCCTAGTAGCTTCAGCTTCTTCCTCTGTTGAGTGGGAAGTGGATTGCTTTAGTTCAGTTTAATTCTAGACATCTCGAAGGGGAAATGTTCATGTAACAGCTAACACTCTTCCTGCAAAGCTAGGATAACTTGACCTTTCTGCTGTGCAGATTCACGGTGCTCAGCAGTGAGTTCTGTACTTTCTGTAGGCAGAGCCAGCTGCGGCATGTTTCCCAGCAACATCTGCTGGGTTGGGTGGCTGTTTATTCGTTATCAGCGCTTACCAGTTGGCGAGCATTGTAATGGATCAGTGGCACGCTTGGCAGGAAGCGCTTTTCAGACTCTTCCTGGATGATATGGAAATGCCAGTTATCTGTACAAACTTGGAAGGCTGAGGGAGGTCGAAGAGGGTATATTGCTTTCTGAAGTTGACCTCCTGCAGTCTCTTCATGCCTTGCTATAATTGCAAATCTACAGCTGTTATCCTGGGTGTCAGCCTAGGGGAAAGTGCTGTCACTGTTACATCTGCCCTGGCTGTTTGGCATAAATGGTTACTTAATAAGGCTCTTTCTTTGGAAACAGGAAAGAACCGGAGGCTGAAGCAGGCGAAAGAAGAAGCCCAGGAAGAGATCGAGCAGTACCGCCTACAGAGGGAGAAGGAGTTTAAAGCCAAGGAAGAAGCTGTTAGTTTGTGTTGAATAATTTGCTGCCAGCCAATCAGCTGCCCAGCTCGTACAGTGTTATGTGCACTAAGATCTGCATGAGGCGATGCTGTTAGATCTCTGAGAAATCCTGTCTGGCTGCTGCTCATCTTGGCAGCACATTCCACACAGAACACTGTCCTGCAGTTTCCCTTAATTGCTTCTCTCTGCTTTATCATGCAGCTCAATGCCTTGGTGATATTAGCGGAAAGGAGCCAGGGCATCAAAAAATGTTGTTGCATCTTGGAAGCTGGAATGTCCACCTTCCCAGTAAAGCAGTTTATATGAACACGCTCATACCCTGACCAGTGCTCCTGCGGTCCTGGTCATACAGG